TATGCCCAGGTGCGTAAAGAAGCCCCGAGCCCCGAGCCCCTCGAGGCCAAGTACCAGCAGCTCATGCGTTTCCACGTCTATGCCGAGCCCCGCGAGGACATCGCCCCCAGCACCCCCACCCGCTGCGAGCCCGAGGGGCCCATCCCCGAGGAGCCCATCCCCGAGGAGCCCATCCCCGAGGAGCCCATCCCCGAGGAGCCCATCCCCGAGGGGCCCATCCCCGAGGAGCCCATCCCCGAGGAGCCCATCCCCGAGGAGCCCATCCCCTTCTATGCCATGGCCCGGGGCTGGAGCCCCCGTGCCAGCCCCAGCGAGAACATCTACTCTGAGGTGGCGCTGGCCCGGCAGGATGTGCCTGCTCGGCTCCCCATGGCACTCCAAAACACCTTCTCCACTCTGCCCTCCAAACCCCGGCCCCACCGCCGGCTCTTCCGCAGCATTTCCAGCCAGGACAGCAAGAGGAGGCAGCTGTCGGTGGCTCCCAGCACAGGCACACAGGTGGGTCTCCAAGGCAGGCCATTGCTCTAGAGCTCAGCCCCAACACGAGGGAGGACTCCTGGAGCCTGAGGAGTCAGAGTTTTCTCCACACCAGGAGCACAGGGAGAAGCTTGGAAACCTGGAATGGTTCAGGTTGGAAAGACCCATCCCGTTCCATGCCCTGCCATGGGCAGGGACACCTTCCGTGATCCCAGGTTGATCCAAGCCCTGTCCAACCTGGCCTGGAACACTTCCAGGGATGGGGCAACCACAGCTTCTCTGGGCACCCTGTGCCAGGGCCTGCCCACCCTCACAGACAAGAATTCCTGCCCCATATCACATCTAACCCAGCCCAGTGGCAGTGGGAAGCCATTCCCCCTTGTCCCATCACTCCAGACCAACTTTGTTCTACTTCCTGGCTCTCAAATCCACCCTCTCCCTGAGAATTCCCTAGGTCATTCTGAACCCTGAGCTGGAGTTGGATGATGCCGTGTACAGCCAGAGCAGCCACAGGGAGCAGCAAACCACGGCCACGGCTGAGAACGTGTACGAGCAGCTGCCTGGGGACTGCCCCTAAGCCACCTGCACAGGTGGGCTCAGGACATCACCTGGCTCCCAGGCAGGAGCAACCTCCATCGCACCACTCGAAGCCCCTGGCCCTGGGAGGAGAGGTCCAGAGCTGCTGTTGGCCCCAGCCAGCGATGCCAATCTGCTCCATGGGGAGCCTCTTCTCTTCCAGATTCCCAACCCTGTTGGACAATGCAGGCAGGGGAGCAGGATTACCTTAGCCATGAACACATTCCAAGAGACTTCTGTTAATAAAATAAGGGGAAAAAGGCTGTTACAGGAAAATCAGGCATGAGTTTGGCACAGTTGGCGCATCCAGTTGGAAATTAAATTGGCCAGGAACTGGGGTGATGCTGCAGCCAGGGCCAAGCTGAAGCTCCCCAGCCTGGAGCCAACACTCCAAGCCCTGCTGGAGCTCAACAGGAGCAGGGAGCCAGGACAGCCAAAGCCCCTGCTTGGAGGGAAAAGCAGAGCTGGGGCATTGTAGCTGTTTTATCTCTGGGAAAATTCACTTCTGACTTTTCACAAACCTGAATTTTGTTTCTCTTAGAAGGCTGAAAGTGGAACACGAGCTCTTGGAATTCCCCCTTGATGCTAAACCTGAGCTAAAGCAAACAAGAAACGGAATGGGGAACCTGGAACTTCCAGCCCCCACACTGCAAACTCCCCAGGCCAAGAGGGTACCTGGATGAGGATCTGAGCCCCTTGTGATGGAAACAGGGCTGGGTGGGTTCATTTAGAAGTATATTCCTTTACCAAATCTCTTCTGGGAGGATTTCACTGTACATACAAGATATGAATAAATTACTCAACAGTAACTTTATTCTGATCATTCAAATACTCAAAACAGGCTCTGCAAAGTACTAAACATACAGGGAGCTAAACTAAAAATGAGATTAGTTTAAAATGTTCTAAGAAAAGACTTCAGTCATGGGGGTTTGCCTGTTTTTAAGAGGTACCATGGGAGAAAAAACACCTCTTGGGAGTTCTTCTTACTGGAATAACAAATATTGGCCATTTGAGCTGTGGTTACAACAAATAAAACCCGGAGTGGTGGGAATATAAGTTAAATAACCAGGCCAGCACTCTGCTCCCTTCGGCATCACACGCTTTGGTGAACAACAAAGTGATGCCACAGAGATTTGGATCCATGGATTGTGCCAGCAGAGCTGCACAGGATTTGCAGTCGCATCACCTTGACAGAATTCCTTAAATAAAAAAAAAAGGTTTAATTTGAAGAAGTTAGGACTGGGCAGTCTCCTCTTCCCAGCCAGGAGGGCAAGGTCAACACTTAATTGAAATAGAATTGATACAAACAAGCTGGAAAAAAAAAAGTACAGTTGGCAGCTCTCCTCTGTGTCTGCCGAGGAAACTGCAGAGCTCACTCCCAGCCAGCCACATGAGGGACACTGGGATACTCAGTTTGATGAGCCTGAGACCAGCCTGGGGCAGGACAGCAGGCCTCAGGCTGGGGGAGAAGGAAAGAGGGGGAAAAAGGAAGGACAATATACATGCAGACATGGCTCAGGGTATTCCAAAGGCCTGAGTGTGCCAGGCAGGAGAGCCTCTGCTCCAGGTGTGGCGCTTCCCCTGGCACAGGCTCTGACCTGCACAGGGGTGTCCCCTCAGCACAGCTCAGGCTGTGGAGCCCAGAGCAAAAACACCAACTTAAACCCCAGGATATCAAAATCATCAGCATGAGAGGAGTGCTGGAGGAGCCTGGACACAAGGAAACTGCTGTGAGGACAAAATAAAAATTCCAAAGCCAGGCTTGCTCTTGGAACTCACCGTGTTTTAGAAAGGAAAATGACATTCTCAATGCACAGCAAGTCCAAGAGAGGAGCAAAGTGGGAATTGGGAGTTTATTGAGCCTCTGCTGAAGGGTCTGGCGTCAGGAGGCACAGCCTGTTCCCTCAGGACAGGAGCCTCACACCCAGCACGTTCCCTGCCGTGCCTTGGGACCGTCCTCGGCCGATCGGAACCTTCCACGCTATCGTTTACAAAGAGGAAGGGGAAGGATTACAGGTGGAGTTTCGGGACCAGCTTGCAATGACCCCTCTTCCTGTCAGGCCAGGGAGTGCAGAGTCCTTCCTCCCACGAGCAGCCCCGTCCTGGGGCCTGGCTGATCTCCCAGAGGCCGGGACACACCAGACACAGCAGGTCACCCGGGATGCCAGCCAAAAAGCGGGACAGATGTGTCAGAATCCGTATTTGGCTTGGGTCTGCCGTCTGCTGAGCTTGTTTTCAGACCATGTGTTTTTCAGTTCCAGTTCTCTCTCCTTGGCCTGCAGAGATGGAGAGGATGCTGTTACCCTCTGTTTCAGTGACTCAGCAGCATTCCGGCCTCCTCCGGCCCCGCTCATGTGGATTATGGAGCCCTTCAGCCAGAAGCCTCGTTACAGGAGTTAGCACAATCATCCTGACAGAGGCCTGGATTAATTGGGATGCACAGGCATTTCATTCATGCTGAAAAGCAGCTTCTCGTGGGGACGGGCTCAGCAACCGCCTGCCAACCCTGGGGCGGAATCCAGGACAGGATCCCAGGGCCTCAGAACACGCAGGAAGGGCAAAGCAAAGCTGAAAGCTTGGGACTGGGACCCCCTCAGGGCCAGGACTCAGGGGGTTCTTGGGGACAGCCCCTGGTCCCCTGCTGCTGGAGGAGCAGCTCCACCACCCCAGCCTTGCGTTGCCAAGACCAAACCTGGGAATTCTGTCTGGATCAGCTCATACACCACGGGGAGGCCACTCACCTGATGGATCAGGTACGTGATCTGGTGTTTTCTCCTTTGCTGCCCTGTGGGCTGATCTCCTTTTTTCTGGAAAACAGAAAGAGGTGAAGTGTTCAGCCCAGAGAAGTGCTTCCCTGGACAGCAAACCAAGACAAGGGCCTGCACACAGCCATCCCAAGCAGCATTTGTTCTCCATTAAAGTGAAGATTCCTTTGGCTGAAGCACTTCCTGGCTGGCCCTCCCCACCCACATGCCATGTTCTGAGCAACTCTACTGGCCTCCCACATGTCATTATTTACCAGGTCTCTGTTCCCCTCCCTGGACACAGCTCCAGCTGATTTGGGCACTGATTTGGGCTGATTTGGGCAGAGGCTCCAACCACAGCCCTCGCCCTCCACCCCACCTTGCTGAATGACTTCATGGTCTTCTCCTCTGTCAAGGATTTGGTCAGCCACTGCTGGGCCCCACTCAGCTGGTCGTCACCTTTGATGTCCACAAAGTTGATCTCTTCCCTCCCACGATTCCGCTTGCCTTGCAGACGCTTGAACTGAAAGATGAACACAAGAGCTGGAATTACACCCGACACTGACCTGATACAAAGCACAGCAACAGTTTTCCAGCCCAGGTTTTGATCTTTTGGAGAATTTTAGCTTGCTGTATATCAGAGTATCTAAAACTACTTGGCATGAAGGTTATCATCTCACTTTCTTATGCAGAAAACAGCATTTACTCCTGCTTCCAGGCTTGCTCAGGAGACCCTTGGAGTCCTGAGTTTTTCATTTTAAGAACCACAGAAGAGCCTTAAGTTTTGCTGCCAACACATTCTGTACCAGCCACAGTGTGGCCACAGGACAAGGGCAGTACCCATCCCCTGTGCTGGCACTGCTGAAGCACCTCCAACCCTGGGGTCAATTTGGGCCCCTCATGCCAACAAAGAGATTGAGGAGCTGGAGCGTGTCCAGAGAAGCAAACGAAGGCAGGGAAGGGGCTGGAGCACCAGGGGAGGCTAAGGGGGCTCAGCCTGGAGAAAAGGAGGCTCAGGGGAGACCTTGTGGTTCAGCACAACAACCTGACTGAAGGGGGCACCCGGGGGAGTTTGGGCTCTGCTCCCAGGGACAGAGGAAAGGGAACAGCCTCAAATTGTGCCAGGGGAGGATTAGGTTGGATATAGGGAAAAATCCTACACCCAGAGGGTGCCCACAAGCTGCCCAAGGCAGTGGTGAAGTCCCCACCCCCAGAAGGATTTAGAAGTCATGTGGATGTGGCACTTGGAGACGTGGTTTAGTAGTGGCCTTGGCAGTGCTGAAGAATGGTTGCACCTGATGGTCTTGGAGGCCTTTTCCAACCTCAACAGTTCTATCCTGTATTTATCAGGCCTGCAGACTCAGCTGGAGCAGGAGCCCAGCAGACTGTGGGAAGGACTCCACACGTGTCCACAACACAGCTCGAGGCCCCCCAGGAGAAACCACCCAGCCCAAGCCACTGGAAACACAGGCTGTGCTGGGGGGCAGGACCGTGGCTGCAGCTCCTGTGTTCTGGCAGAGCTCAAAACCAAATTCCACAGGGGGACAGACAATGAAGTGCCAACCGCTTCGTCATCGATGAACGATGAGTCGGTGCTCGTCTCCTGCGGCGGGGCCTGGGCTGGTTCCACCTCTGGGTAGTACCCACTGCTGTAGTAATCCTGGCAGGGAAAGGGAAAGCAGATTGTCATGAGAGCAATCCTGGAGTGGCACCAAGCCATGGACTGCCCTGTGGGCTGATTCTGTCAGAGGAATGACCAGCAAATGATCTGAGGGACTTTTCACAACGGGTGGAGTGACAGGACAAGGGGCAATGGAACTCACTGCTGGAGGGCAGGGTTAAATAGGATATTGGGAAGGAGTTCTTCCCTGTGAGGGCAATGAGGCCCTGGCACAGGGTGCCCAGAGAAGCTGTGGTCACCCTATACCTTTAAGTGCTCAATACCAGGCTGGACAGGGCTTGGAGCAACCATGGATAGTGGAAAGTGTCCCTGTCCACGGCAGTGCCTGGGACTGGATGGGCTTTAAGGTCCCTTCCAACCCAAACCAGTCCAGGATTCTATGAATTATTAGAAACATCCTGGGCTCAGACACCAGCTCCAGTGAGCCCTTACACTGCATCCTCACACCCAGGGCATTTTCACAGGAGTGCAGCTGTCAAACATCTGTTCAGTGAAGAACATCTGGAGCTCTCACACCATAGGAACTGGTTTGTGCCCAGTGCTGGATCCAGCTCAGGCTGGATTCCCTGCCCCGTGTCCCAGGTATCTCACACAGGCTGGATTCCCTGCCCCGTGTCCCAGGTATCTCACACAGGCTGGATTCCCTGCCCCGTGTCCCAGGTATCTCACACAGGCTGGATTCCCTGCCCTGTGTCCCAGGCAGCTCACATGGGCTGGATTCCCAGGAGCAGCCAGTAACCTGAGTCACTCACTCAAGTACCTGTCCAGAGCCCCTCACTTCACCTCTGACCAGTGAACCCACCTGGTAGTAGCCCCCAGGCTCGCCGTAGGCAGGGGGGAACTGGCCATAGGAGTGGCTGCCATAGTCCTCGCCAGGTTTGGGTGCCCAGCTGTGCTGAACTCCGCTGGAGCCCGCACCCGTCTTGAACTCCAGAGGGGCGTTAGCAGCCGCATCCTGGAACTGGGGCTCCGGCTCTGTCCCGGGCGGAGGGTCCTCCGACCCCCCCGTGCCGGGGTACAGGTAGGGCTCGGTGCCCGCGGCACTGGGCTCGCTCCTGTCGGACAAGGAGAAGTAGTTCTCTGGCTGCACCTCCTCGTCGCTGTCCTCCTCCTCCTGGGTGATCTGTTTGGTTACCTGCAGTGCTGCGCTCTTGGCCGCGGCTTTGATCGCCGATGGGGACGGAGTTGTGGGCACGGCCGGCTTGGGCACGGGTTTGGCTTTGGAGGAAGAGCTTGGGGTCTTGGCAGGCTTGGAGTCGGAGGCGTTTTCTCCTGCTTTCCTGGAGAATGCGTAGGGCAGGAGTAACCGATTGGTCTCTTTCACTGTCATGTTTTTGGGCTGAGGAAGCAAAGCGGACAAGCCGGAGCCCTCGCTGCGTCCCTGGTGACATCCATGCAGGACAAATGTACCACAGAAAGAAAAGACTGAGGTTATTCGCTTTTCCTGACTTCCTGCCAATTATCCCCCCCAATTCTAACACTTCTTGTGGGCTTCCTGCTGCTTGGCCACTCTGAATATGCTGCACAAGGGGGATTTTGAAGGGAAATGTGGTACTTGCAAATATCTGCCCAATTCTCAAATTAATTAATGCCTCTTTTGCCAAGATTTAAATTGGTGAAATTGCCCAAAAGAAAAGGACTTGAAAACCCATGAGATTTCAGGAATTTCCCTAAAGCCACGAGGTGATCAGAGTGGATAATTTACACAAGTGGAAGCCCAAGACTGGTCACAATCAAACGCTTTTTTCCATGACAATTGTTTAACCAAGTGCCCTTGTTATTTACCTGAAGAGTATTTTTTTTCTTTGCTGGTTCATCTTCCTCTGAATCTGACTGAGAGAGAAAAGCAGAGCTCAGCACAACCGGAGATGCTAAACTAAAAAAGTTATGTTAATAAACCCCAGGAAAATAAACCCAAAGGGAGGGAAGAACTGCAGGTGCACAGCAGCAGATCAGGGCTTTCCTTCAGAGGGACAGACAACAACAGCTACTGAAGGGGAAGCACAAACCACACAGAGGGTGTAAAGCTCACTGCAGGGATACAAAGAATTGTTCCCAATAATGCTGAAATTGCTAAATATCCAGTTAAAATTTGAGTGGAAAGCCTGGTTGGCATCATTAAAGGCCCTAAGTATCTTTAACATTTCATGGCTCCTCAGAGAACTTGGAAGAGACAACTGGGATGGAGGGCTTGTGCCAGTTTACTGCCAAATAAGCAATAAACTGACTGAAAAATCTATCACCTGCACAACAAACAAAAAACTTTTTTGAGCTACAATGCCTTGCAGCTCCACATCATCAACTCATTAACTCCAGGAATAAAGAAGGGTGCAGATAATCTGGGTTTGGCTGCATTATGATTATAAATAAGGTTTCTATATCAGTTTAACTCTGCAAAGCGCTTTAGGATTAGGGCAGGCAGCCAGGACAAATCTCCCCGTGGATGACACAACAATAGATCCCGGTACCTCGGTGTGAGAGAGCGAGGGAAGAGACCCGCGGGGGGAGTTTTCACTCGAAAGGGCTCGAGCCGGGGGTTTGTTCCATACTCACATCCCCCTTGTGCAGCTCGGGCGCCGCGATCCGCACCGGCTCCGTCCTCTTCTTTGGCTTGGGGAGGCCCAAACCCNCAAAGCGACGGCAGCGGCTCCGCGCTCCCGGTAATGGCTGCCGGCAGCGCCCTGCTGCCCGCGCTGTAGCGACGCCGGACTACAACTCCCGGCGTACCCCGCGAGCAACGCTGTGCCCGCCTCCCTCTGTGCCCCGCCGCGAAGCACCACGGGAAATGTAGTCTGTGGTGCCACGCGGCGGGAGCCACGGGTGGGACCGGGACAAGGCCCGGGCACCGGCGGAATGCGGGAAGGCCTCTGGGGACGGAGTGGGACGGGGACGGGGACAAGGTTAAGGATGAAGACGAGAACGAGGAGGCGGGAGGGTCCGACCCACCCCCGCCAGGCCAGTGGATTCATTGCCAAACCGAGCCCTGAGCTGGGACTGCAGCTCCCGGTGTGTCCCCGGTGCAGCGGCACTGCGGGACACGGGCCGGGGGTCAGGGGAGCTCTCCCTGCCTTCCATCCTTTCATCCGGGGGCACGATCGGTGCTGCCAGCCCCAGCAGAAGCTGCTGGAGTGGGATGCAGGAGGCCTGGCCAGGAGCTGGTTTATCCCTCCGGGGCTTTGCTGATTTTCGGTTTGACGCCTTTGACCTCCTTCTTGCTTGTTCTGGCCTTAATAAGCAGAGAGCTGGGCTCGAATTTGGGTCCCCAACACCAAGGGAAGCGATTTGCAGAGCTGCTCTGAAGTACCAGCACAAGTAATTAAAGCAAAATGGAGATAAATGAGGAGCGTATCCTGAACCCTCTGTCATTTGGAACGGTGTGAAATCCAGCCAACATGCCCTGTCCCACCCCTCCTGGCCTGTTCTGGAGAGCTGAGGAGTGTTAAAAATACAGTATTAAAAATAGGCATTGAGGCCTTGGGGAGCGGGAGGGACAGGCACGGGAGGATTCCAGGAGCTGGGACACACAAGTTACGTTTTCCCCCACTCCTTACACGGCTGTGACCTGTGAGGGCAAAGCCAAGCAATCCCACAAGGACACTGAGGAGGACGGGGAGGAGAAGGAAGGTGTCCCTGTGGCCAGGGGACCAGCACGGCTCACAGAAAGTCCCATCTGTAGCAGCCTCTCTTCAGGAACCCCTTTCCCTGAGAATCTGGGTTCCATATCCAGCAGTAACATCAAGACTTTGTTGTGACACACAAATCACACTGGAAGAGTGAACTCCCATCACAACCCAAAGGCCTTTCCTTTCACATCTCCACCAATCCACTCCACAAATCCAAAGGAAACCAAAATGGAGATTTTTTTTGTGGCTGTCACTTCCCCATTGAAACAATTGAAACAACCTTTGTGCTTATAGTTTGGGCTGGAATTGACCATGAAAATCATCCTGGGGATTGGTTGGGAATCTTCCTGGCAGATTTTTTCCACTCCTTCCTAAGTGTCCAGGCTTGTAAATTTTTTGGATTTAGGAAAGGGAAATGGGTGATTCCCTTAGAAGCACTGAGTGGTTCAACCACCCCAAGCTGTAATATGAGGCAGCCCTCATCCTCTGCCGAGGAAAATCAACAAGGACTCTGGCAGGGAGAGGAGAGACACAGCTTAAACAAGGTCTGGCTCCTGCTGTGGAGAAAGAGGGAGGAATCCTTGTTTCCCTCAGCATTTGTCCATTTTTCCATTGCAGGTGGAGATTCCTTGAGACTGGTCTCACCCTCAGGCAGTAGGATCCTGCTGTCAGCTGTGACCCTGTGGATTATTTATTTGCATTACTTTGAAGCTTGTTAGGAGAAATTAAGCCAAGGAAAGCACACGGGGATGGAAAAAAAAAGAGCCCAGCCCAGGAACCCTGACTGCCAGGTCAGGGTGGAGGTTCTAGTCTTGTAAACGATTTAATCTGTATTTAATTTAATCCCAGGTGTTTGGTTGGGCCCAACAGGGACAGCAGCACCCAGCTTCGGTCTGAAGTGGAGACCAAGGTGACAATTTATTTACTGCCCTGGTGACTTTGTCACCCTGTAACCCCACACTGAGGCTGCCTAGGGCCCAAATCTCCTCCCCAGGCATCCAGAGATTTCCCGTGTGTCCTGAGCAATCCCAGGCTCTGCAGGACAGAGGGGAACTCTGGGGGGGTTCTAAGGAAAAACTTCTTTTTCTGTTGAGATGAATGGGGCAGTTCGGCCAAAGGGACCCTGAGTGGGCACCAAATGCTCCCAGTCCTTGCTTTTATCTCTTTCCATAGGCTGACCTCCCTCTTATATCACGTATTCAGCTATAGCCACGATGTGGGATTTTAGGGATGCTCCTACACTGGGTTAACATCATTTTACACTGGGTTTAGGCTGGTTTTGCATTGGTTTGCACATTTTGCACTGTTTTACAGTGGTTTCACTGTATGTCATGTTACAGCAATTTTGCAACGCTTTAACATAGGTTTACACTGGTTTCATACTGTCTCACACTGCTTTTGTACTGATTTGCATTGTTTTAAAAACAGTTTTGCACTGTTTTACATAGCTTTAAGCCGATTTTGCACTGTTTTATGCGATTTTATGCCAGTTTTGCGCTGTTTTACAGGGGTTTATACCATTTTGGTGCTGTTTAACACCTGTTTTTCATTGTTTCACATTATAGTTTTGCACCGTTTTACATGTTTTTACACCATTTTGCTGCTGTTTTACACCGCTTTTTCACCGTCTTACACTGGTTTCGCACGGGTTTACGCCCGTTTTCCGCTATTTTAGACGGATTTTGCTGTAACACCGGATTTGCACCGCTTCTACACCGGACCCCTCCATTCCCAGGCGGGGCGTCCCTCTGGTGTCACCCCGAGCTGGCGTTCCCATCGCGGCTGGAAGCATCCACACCCCCTCCAGGGCCAACCTGCAGCCGGTTTTTGCACATTTTGGGCTCGGCCGGCGTTTTTTGGGGGCCGGCTCGGCGCCGTGGGCGGGCTGTGGGTGTGAGCGCCCAGGCAGCGCTGCCGAGCCCGCGAGCTCCGAGCGCATCCACCGGGAGGAGGAGGAGGAGAGGAGGAGGAGGAGGAGGAGGAGGAAGGGGAAGGGTGGGGGGG